TATACATTTGGAACATCATACCACCGCTAGAAGCGGCTGAATGAAAAGAATTTCACATGATTGAATAGTTCCGCTGTTATCTTATGTGAGAATCGATGAAAAGCTGTAAGTATTACTTACACAAGGACGAATTTTTTAAATGTTTCTCAAGCCCTTTCATCTCAAAAGTCACTTCTACGGATTTCACATCGAGTTTCTAGATGTCTTTCAAACATCGAAAAGATTCGCTTCTCTTTGTTGCATCTGCTGTACTAAACCTACTGTTCGAGTGGTTTTGACTAGAAATTTTTATTCAATTTTACAAAGAGCGCATATTAGATTTCAAACTATCTCATCTTACTTATGTTGAACTATAGGAATATAAACAGCAATGCAACAAGCGGATGACCGGCTTTTGTTGCGATGAAAGAGCATCCGACATTTCAAGACCTCAGTTGTACGAACACTTTCTGCTAATTTTTCTGTAGTAAGCCGCATTTGTGTGATCTCTTAGGCTAGATGAGGTTTTGCATAAGTTTTATTCTAAGTAGAGGTGGAGAAATCAAGTCTTTTGTCAGGAGGGGCAAAAAGCCTTGCTCCTTGTCACTGATCAAAACGCATAGTTATCTCCGATTATTCAGATTACAGTCACCTTATTATGAGTTGGAAGTCATTCACTACTTAGATCACAGTCGAGCTGCCGGTGAAGTGATCGCGTTGTTCAGCTACAAAAAAACGCGAACCTAATGAAAAGGGCAAAGATCTCTCGACTTTGCGCTAAGCACTAAGACACCACGGGTGTTCTTGATGTAACGCACACCTCAAAGTCAACACTGCGTAAGGATGATGAGAGACTCGTTAGCGAATGCGTCATTAAATGGGTCAGACACCAACAACTGTTACAGCACTTGTAGTCTTTGGTTCGTTCTTTTCTCGTGCAAGTGAAGGTCGCCATCACGCTAGAGTCGACAGAAATGACAAAAGTGTAGCTGAACTGAAGATGTATCACTAAGGGGTTGGTGTCGATAATGTATTGCCGCATTATAACGGAAAATAGTCCGTAGGGATGATCAGAATGATTTTTTTTCGTGTTGTTTTTGTTGGAGGTCTTGTTCTTGTATTACACTGGCACAAAGACTTTTTAAGGGTTAGTTTCTGATTTTTTCAGACGATTGTTTCAAATACTTTCGCCCCTTTGCGGAGAAAACAAAATTACCACTTTCTCCTTCCATCGTGTCAGCGAGGGTGGGACTTTGCTTTCTCCTTTCAATCCACCATTGCCAACGTTGTGAGGATTTTCGTTAATTGATTAGGTGCACAGTTACTTCCAGCCATGATGACACTGTTGACTTTTGAATCGCGAATCGCGTAGCTATTACAAATAAGTACTGTTTAGCAAACAAAGCAAAGGACCGGTTTTATCCGAATTTTTGCCCTTGAAGATCTCTCATCAATCTCACATTCTTTTATGAGCAATCTCGATATTCGATATTACACAAAGTTCTAACTGTAAAAAGGACAATAGTGTGGTGATGCGTACTAAATGCTTTAAGTTATCCGTTATCATTTCAAACCCTTAGGGGACAACACGTTTTCTGCTTTTTCTGTTCCGGTAGTCACTCTATATCTCAAATCTCAGTGACTTCAAAACTGCACTTAGTTTTTGAAGAACTTTTTTGATGCGCCGTAGCATTGAAAAGAAAATTCAGTGTCCTACTTGAAGCTCGGCTTCTGCTCTGCTACAATTTGTAAATGGTTGTGTGGATGATATTCCTCAACAGTTCGTTTCGAGGCGGCTGAGGTTCGTGAATGGTCTTCTAACAAACTTCTGATAGTTGAATGATAGTAAAATTCAAATAATTTTGAAGGTAGTTGTAATTTTCGAAAGGTCTCAATAGAGCTAAGGATGTGACATGTATTGAGCCGTCAGGTCTAGTGCTTAAGCGCCTGTTCCTATTGGGACTCATCAGTAGCACCCTCCCTCGATTAAGTCGATCCGCTGAGGCTAGATAATCCTTCATAAGGATTTGACGCCGAGTAAAATGAAAACGAAGAGCGCTAGAAGAGTAAAAAAGATCAGGTATCACACTCCTGGTTCACAGGTCGTTTAGGCTTAGTATTGGGTTTACTTAACGATATGAAATGTAAATGATAAGCTCATGGCAATAGCAGATAGACAAAGTTTATTCTACAATTCTGATTCGGAGAAGCTGAAAATCTCCACGAAACGGCAACAAATTTCTTAACATACAGCACTACTTTTCGTTTAGACGGCGACGAAGAAAAACCGATCTCATTAGCTGGACAGGAGTTTTTATAGACGTGTTAGTAATGATTGGAAAACTTAAATCTCTCGCCAAACCAGTATGTGGGCCGGTTTTTAAAAAGATCTTTCAAAATGCTGTAATGTTTGAAATGAAGCTGTGCTTCAAATGCGCATACTCTCGCCGGACAGAGCTCTTTTTTAGACTATTAATATTCATTTGATAGCGTAAAGTTTGCCGATTCCACTGCTTCACATATTTTTTGGAAAGACCGTTTCTCTGCAGTGCAGCAGGAAAAACAAGTTGAATTCACGAACGATAGTGAGTGCTCTTTGGCCAATCCACGGGCCGAAAGGTGACGCGACAGGGTGGGCTCACGCGATGACCAGTTATTTCCATTCGTCCCAGAAAGTGCGATATTCGTTGTTTAGTTAGGAATTACTTCTGCGCTTTGAAAGAAAGTCCACTACAAAAGACTTCGAACACCTTCATTTTGTCTATGAATTTAGATAAAACAATCGTCATTATGATCCCTTTGATCAAATTTAGGAGGCCAACGTCCTAACTGCTTCCAACAACGATTCGAAGACATTCAACACTACGAGATTTTTTCTACACGTTCATCTGCTCGAAAATCGAGCGGTTATCTCGTCAGTCCACCATACCGTCTCAACCAGCAGAGAATTGGGTCGTGAATTGATCAAAGACGACTTACTCGCGCGTGCGCGAAATTCAATCTTATTTTTCCCTGCTGCCCTGCAGAAAAGCGGTTTCTCAAGAAAAAGCCAGCGTTGGAGTCAGCAAAAATTATGCTATCTAATGACTGCTAATAGTACAAAGAATGAACTCTGTTTTGAGAGAAAAATGCGGGTGTATGACATAAAGGCTATCCTTCCGTAACAACGGAAAGAAAGCTTTTGCGAAAGCCGCACATGTGAGGCTGTAGCTAGAGATTTAAGCTTTCGAATGATTACCAATGATCCTATGAAAAGTTACTGTGCAGCGAATGAGATCGGTTTTTCATTTGCTGCCGTCTAACAGGAAAGCACCTAGTTAGCGAGAATTGCGCCCTTTCGTGGCAGCTTTGAGATTGCTGCGCTCAGCGCGAATCGAGAGATGCACATAATGCTTTGAAGAGGCCAGTCAAAATTATATACAACGCAAAATTGTCCAGATTTGAGCTGTCGAATGACACTAAAACTATGGAAAAGCATGAAGCACGTTGTTCCTAAAGGATCGAGGGTGATAACCGATAACGAAAAATTACCGCATATGCAAATGGAAACTATAGATTTCATTGAAAGTGATCCTTGACTGCATATGCGATGCTTCCGCGGCTATTCTCTTTCACAGTATCCTAGAAAAAAGAGCTGCTCAAGAAATGACCTTTCGTTTTAATATGTTATATGTAAAAATATGACTCCCACGTTTTTTTTTCTTTCTGTAATATTAGTAAAAATAAGAATATACAAATTCTTTTTTTACTTGAAAGTACGCTAAAACGCTATTTACTCATATGTTTTCTATATACAAAATATTCTATATGATGGTTTTTATAGGACTTCCGACGTAATCTGACGGTGCAATGTCGAGAGAGTAAGGCGAGTAAGGCAAAACCCAAAACTTTTCCACTTCAGCTCTTTCATAACGTTTTCGATCGGCGTTTGTAATATGAAGTCGAGCGTTATCAAGCAGCAAAATTGCAAGGTTCACGCTGCTCTATTTTTTCAATATGATTTTTGCAATGAAATTGCGTGACCTAGGTATCGTTCAATTGCGCATTCTCTTGCGAACATTTTGGTATTCAACTTGTCTGTACTTGCTTCAAGATGGAGCTCGCTCTAGGCTCTATTAATCTTGTGCGCCACTCCACTGTCATTCCCCTACTCGCCATTCGTGCATGAGTAGCAAGAGAATTTGTTTTACATAACACCTCCATCCTAAAGCAAGTATTGGCAAGTTGTACATCAAATAATTACAAGAAAATCCGTAGTTGAACTACACCAAAATCAAGCTATTTCGATTACTTTTGGTTAACAAATTTGCAGAGTGAAGTTCCCGCAAATGGTGTTTTCTAGGTGCAAAAGTCTTCATCTTCAAAGTTTTTCAAAAGGCCATCATGTGATATATTTTGTATGCAAGAATCATATATATAAACAGCGTTTTGAACGCATTCAAAACAAAAAAGGAGTGCGCATATCTTTACTGTTACTCTTATTACAGAAAAAAATAGGGGAGTTATATTTGTAAGGCTTAAGCAGCGAGCTGTTAGCATTTTTTTGCATACTTGCTATTGTAGCAGGAGAAATTGTATCAGCTACACGCAATATCTCGCCCTTTCACCAGTGAGTTTTTCAAACGTTTTTCAGTTCAAAACTGTCATTTTTGGCGTGGAAGAATATATTTCTTCTCTAAAGAGTCTCCAATACCTCCAATGAATGAATTTCTATGAGCCTCGGCATTAACAGTTGACGTATGTAAATCTTAGAGGCCGATTCTTGTTGAGTTGAAATGAGGTTGGTAACAGCTTTCGTTGCTGTTGTTTTTGTTACTGATGCTGCTTGATGCTTACGCTTCGGCGATATCGCCTTCATCAGATCGTTTTGTGAGGGTGAAGAAAGTGAAGTCGCCGAAACGTCAATCGCTGAACAACAACAACTGCAATAACAACGAAAATAATAGGAGATTAATAATAGGGAAATGAATAAAATAATAGCCAACATAGAGATGTTGAAGAATGAGTGATGGTGCCAATGTGCCTTGGTGGTGTAGTGGTAGTAGCCCGCGTTCTTGGTATGGATGAAACGCGAGTTTGATTCACGCTTGAGGCCATGTTTTTGCTTACCACTCAATTCTCTTTGGTACATATGTAACGTCATAACACTGCGAAAGAAGCACTAAAAATACTGGGATTTTTTATAGTAATACCAACAATATCAATAACAACTACTGCAACAACAAAAACGACAATAACGACAACAGAAGTTTTCATAATAGGTTGTGAAGCAAGGTAGGTATGCAACCTTATCGCTAGGTTTTCTTAGAACGGCGACGATTTTCGAACGTAGGTTTAGCATTTGCTGAGTTTCTAAAGATGTCATGTTCTCTAGATGTTTGCATCCTCGCCAGATGAACATTTGAATAACCAAAATGAAGAAAGGAAACGTGAACAATTCCTGATCATCTGATCTGAACGGCTGAAAAAGCGCACTTGAGTGACGATAAAAGATTAAGAAAACCTGTATCGTGCGCTTAAACTACAAAGTACAAAATTTGCCTTGTGTAGATAAATTTCTGAACAAGAAATGTTTCCAAGAAAAGATAGTGAACACGACACCAAGAATTTTGTACACAATAATCGATTCATCTCACAATCAGTCAGCCAGTTACTCCCATTTTTTGCATATCTAATCATCTGCTCAGAAAATCGATGCATTACCGATTTTTTCTAAGAAAGAATCTTGCGGTGGCGTTTGTTAAATGTGGTCATCAACTTATAATTTTTTATGCTCATTGTATTTCAAGAAATATTTTGTTTTCATGAAGAACATCGCAGCATTGAAACATTTTTGATTCAACTGTAATAAATATGGCTGATCTAATCAGGTTCTCCACTGAAGTCCTATAATGCTTAAGCCAGAACGGTTTTCATGCTGTCAGCACTGTCAGTCAGCCGTCATTGTGGATTAGTGGCAAGTTCCTACCTAGATGAATAAAGCGTAAAACGTTCATCGTTGGTCGATCGTGGAGAAATATAAGCTTCGGTGAGCGTCGATCGTGGAATTGTATCAATGACCAAATGTTTATTTCGCGGCACCTCTAATCATTGCGTTGCATGAGCCTTCTTGCCCTTACATTGAAACCTTCATACGGCGGAGATCCTGCCACTGGCATGTTCTAGATTGCCTCAAGATATTAAATACGAAATTCGCTCCTTTCTTCGCAGTTTCAGGAGCTTTGCGTGGGGTACGAATCCTCGCACTCGCGATACACAGCAGGAGTTTGACACACAATTACACCATACGCCACTATTGCAGATCAAGCAAAAACGGCGAATAATCTGCAATTATTTTTGTCCCATGAATTTATATAGAAAGTTCGCCTCAGAAGAATAATTTGTGGTACATTCTCGCTCTCTTGGCTCACCAAGCCATTCATCCCTTCGGGGTCGGTATGTTGATATCGGGCTAGTCTCAGACTTGTTTGGGAGGATAAGCAGCACTGACTCGACACAACGGAAGGCCACTGCGAGTCAATGTAAAGACCGGGTTTGCATTCAATCACCTCAAGCAGTCAAAATTGAAGACGAATGCACGGCGTATCCCTCAGAGATTGATCTACGCCGAGAGTCTTGTCCTCTCTTTATTTGATCAAGATCAGAGAATTGGCCATACGATTTTCAGTTTTACAAGAATCAGGAAACAAATGATTATGTTCGCTTCAATAAAAAGCTGAAAAAAGTGAAGTAGAATTGCATTTAAACGATTAAGGAACCAGGTTCCGCGCAACTTTTGTGAAACACTGGTTGAAATCCTCTGGTGCTGCTCAGAATAATACCTCCAAATCAAGTAATTTTATCAACAGCTTCAATCTTGCTTAACTCTCCGTCTATTTGGGTCACTGGGACATGACAACTACCTCAATCGCCTCAGATTCCCTCAACTAATAGAAAACACTTTGCAGTTGAAATCTCATGCAGAAGATATTAAGTTTAAAAGGAAGACTTTATAATATGGCGTCGCATTCGCAGTTAAATCGTTTTTGCTTGATGAAAAGAACGAAAATGAACTTGAATGAAAGGTCTTTATAGAAAAGCACTGGAACATTCATAAGGACAGATCATAGCAACAGATAAGAATAAACAACAGAACGTAGCTAGAGATTTAGAGCATCATGGCACAGTAAACGTCACCGTTTTTTTAAGTTACTGTACATTGATAAAGCAAATACTCTGAGATCAGATCTTAATAGTCTCCACTGCCAAAATCGCCCCCTCCTCCGAAATCACCACCAAAATCACCACCACCGAAATCATCACCTCCATAATCTCCTCCAGCATAGTCATAATCATCGATTCCTAGAGAAAAAGTACACTAAATTACATTTCAAAGCTGTTACAAATCATGTTAAACAAGAGAGAAGTTTCGAATGATTCTTTATTTTCTCAAAATCACTAGCAAAAAACACAACATCTCGTGCAGTACCTGCGTCTCCATCGTAGCCACCATAATCATCATGGCCACCATCATAGTCACCAGTAGTGGTGTCCTGAAACGGCACGATCCACAAAAGATCGTTGAAGAGTTATTTGATGACGAATTGCAGTTAACAAAAATTCTACCTTACTCAATTGGTGATAGATCAAAAAGTCAGTTGAAGAGTTATGAAAACTACTTTTATGATAAGAGATAAAATAATTGAACAGTCTAAATAGAAGATGAACGGCGTTTCTAGATCACAAATCAACTACCACACCTGAGTGTCATCTGGTTCCTCCACTATTCCTTGGCTTTGATTAGCATCCGCGATAGAGTTACTAGCGTTTGGATCCGGAGTATTGTAGTAGTTGTTCGTGATGTTAGTATCGTTGTCCTAAAAACGTGAAAGGTTGAAAAAGCACGTATGAAGAAGCTGAAAAAAAAGGAAAAATGACAACAAAACTACAAGTTCTTCCACTGTGAATTCTTTCGGCACCTCTATACACAACCGTACTGCGCTAGATTAGTGATAATTCTCAAATAAAAAATCCTTGCCTACGCCGCATATTTTGCTGTGAAGGGAGAGTTCTTGCTATGATAGGAATAAGATCTCTTTCAAATTATCATTGAAAATGGCGAAGAAGTTACAAATTAATGAAGCTAACGTACATAGAAATCAGATCTAATGCATTATGGAGTGAATATCCCGCTTCTTTAACTTTGATTAAGTTTGCCATAGGCCTTTTGAGCAGCAGGAAAACTTGCAAAATTTTCATGGGTGATAATTTTTCAAATTTATCTCACGCGACCCATTATCCCGATGTACTGAGTGAATCCCCGCACTTCTTCACTCATTTTCCATATTAATCCCCCACAAAAGCCTTCGGATACATCACGTGTTGCTTCGGCATATGCTTGAGAATCCCATTTTCTTCATTAACATAATAAAAGGCTCGTCGAGACTTTTCTCGTCGCAATCTTCGAGGTAGCGGAGCTAAAGCATTCCCCTAGATGTTCGCTGATTGAAGGCAAGAGAGTGTTGTAGGGGGAATTCAAACTAGCGCCCTGTTCATTACCGTGTTTTTGATACAATGCTCACTGACCACTACGCATACTCCGCTCCCACTATAGAATAACAAGAAAACCACAAGATATCAAAGAATGTGGCATAACCAGCAAAAAAAAAAGCCATCTCATTCAGTCTCACGGCAATTTAAGTGCGACTTTCGTTTCACCGTAAAATGACAATATTTTCTAGAACCTCTTTCTTGGACTAGCAATGATAAGATTCTCATGCATTTGTTTGACGATGCCCATTAAAGAGATATACAAGTAAAACTAAAAGGTAAATGGAAAAATAAATCAAATAATGAGATCACAGACGTACTGAGTAATAACCTCCACCCATGCCTAGTCCACCGCCGTAGCTGGGCATCATCATTGAGTGACCTCCCCACATTGAGCCCATACCGTAGCTCATCAACGATCCCATCAACATTCCACTGCCGAAACCAAGTGCTGCGCCACCTAGTCCAGCACCCAGTCCACTTCCGCCTCCATAACCACCGCCACCTGAATGATGTGGAAGTTTACCATAGAAAATCAAGCGCCTTCTTTTTCTTCAAATTCTATGGTATCAATCTTATTATATATTCAGAACTAACCACGATCAACAATCACTGTCGTTGGTCCACCACCATATCCACCACCGCTACCACCTCCGCGACCATAACCACCACCACCGCCCCCACCATAACCTCCAACACCACCTCCGCCTTGGTTGTAGTATGATGGAGGAGGAGGTGTCGTACCTCCATAGACTGGTGGCACGGGTGGAGGTGGATAATTGCCCTGTACTGGTGGAGGAGCGTCAGGATATTTTGCAGGAGGTACTGGAAAGATATTTCATCACAAAAACCGCTGAGCGTTAAAAAGTATCTAGAAAGTGTGTCATAAAATTCCATCACCTCCTGTATCACTGTTTCAATAGCATTACGTTTAAAGTTATCAAGAATCACTAGTACCATAAACTTCCTCACCATAACCACTATTGGGTTGAATGTTTCCAGGCTGAGATGGAGGTATCTGTTGCGGTGGCGGATTCGGTTTCGGCAATGTCTTCGTGATCTCGGCAAACCATGCTCTGCAAAACCAAAACTCTCGTGATTGCGTAAAGTCATACAAACAACAATTGGAAACTGTATGCAGATCTTGAATGTTCTCAAAGACTGATTTAGCCTTTTCGAGGTTTTGTTACGCACATTTCGGAAGTCTCGTCACCTCGTCAGAACCACACCCCTCATCAGGCCCTCTTTACAGGAAGTCGTACAATAATAAACTCAGGGAAAACGAAAACGTCGTTTAAAAAGTTTACAGTCGATGGCACTTGGGCCATTGGTTTTTACAGACATTGCTCATGGAGGACACTTCATTCGAGTGAAATCGCCGAAACGTACGTAAGCCACAGGAACCTTTCAAAACCTCAAGAAGAAAATCTTTGAGAAAATTCGCAAATTCACAAGAAAAATTCTGATGGATCACTGATGAAAAGAGTTTCCTGGAACCGGGAAAATCAGCTGGTCTCCACGTCGCAAATCTGACCTGTGAATTCATCAACAACCGGTAGAATATTC